AAGCACCTGGACATACACATGGAGCGTTTTTATGCAAATATAGGCAGGAACATTTCTCTCAGACTTCCAACAGGGAGAACCATCTTCAGATGTGACTGCAAATGGTCCAATGCCTCCGAATCAGAACTTATGGGTGCTAAAAGTAAAGAAAAGAAAAGAAAGGAAAGAAAACACCAATAAAACAAATGAGTGGGAAGTTAATATGCACTCAAATTGCACAGCTTGTGTTAAAGGCATGTGTGTGACCTCCCTGTCTCACCTCTTTCTTGAAGCAGGTTCCACAGAGGCAGCCGAAGAGGCCGTTGATCATCTGAATGGCGCAGAGCAAGCCCTGCACACCGCTGGCTGCCAGCAGAGTGACGAACAGCCCTATGTTGAACTGCACCACGTTCTTTGGCTCTTCGCACTCTGCCCACAACTTGTGGTCGTTCATGTAGGGCTTAGTGCTGTGTAAACAAAGAAGCTTCTAAATAACCAGAACTTCATCATGTTAATGAGCGTCGTCAGGAAGCTGCTTCTGCTTGTCACCTGTTTTCAAAAGGTCGAGTCCATTGTCCGTCGTAGAGGCAGAGGGGCCCGTTGTACAGGCCAAACACGGCCACGGTGAAGCTGTACAGGGCGCCGGCCACGCCTACTACAGCGAACACAATCGACAGGAACATCTGCCAAAGCAGGTGAATGACAATCAAAGTTCAGAGATGTTTATCTTGGACGTTGGGACATATTAACACTGAATTCTTACTACATATTTCACCCTCCTTCTTCTAACACACAGTTGTCCTCAGACGTATTCAAACCCTCCCATTAAAGAAGGAAAAAAACAGCTGTCACTGACATAAGCTGAAATTGATAAAAGTAATACTGAATAAAAATTTAATGAAAATCATGACATTGTTTTTGAATTGTGGCTCAACAGAAATATAGAAAAAAACAAGCAAACAAGCATGATGGGACCCGTAAACTAATATTTTATTGAACAACCCTTTGAGCCAATCACTGCAATCAAGTGTTTTCTGTAACTCTCAATCAGACTTCTGCACCTGTCGACAGATATTTGGATTTTGACCCACTGCTCATCAACAAAGTGCTCTAATTTGTCCTGGACAGTTTTTTTTTTTGTAATTATTTTTATTTTTATTTTTTTCAACCACAATTCAAAAGCAATGTCTTATTTCACTAAATTATAATTTAGCAAATTTTGATTTATTATTACTTTTTTCAGTTTCTAGTTGTTTGAGTGACTATTGTGAATTTTGTCTTTTCTTTAATGGAAGGGTATGAATGGATTTGAGGACGACTGTATGTTTTAAACAACTGATGCATTTTTAATGAAAGTTTAAAGTTTAAAGAGTTTAAAGTTTAAGGAAGCATGGACTTTCAGCTCACATTTCCTCCCACCTTCCTCACATTCTTTCATAGGGTGTCTTATCTTCCCAACAGCAACATGGAAAACTACAGGCTGAGGCCCAAACAATGTTTCTGGTATTATATTATATATATATATATATATATTGATGTATAGATTCTGATTCAAGTTATTATAAGCAAAATGCTTTAACATATGTTTTTATCAAGTTGTGTCGCAGTAAATGCACACACAAAAAGGAGACAATCTAACAGAAAGCTCATTAATTGGGATAAATCTCCACGTTGATGGTGTTATAAATACTTTTACCCTGTACTAACAAGGCTTTTTCTCTGGTTCTGATCCTAAAAAAAAGCAGAAACATGCTGTGTTGTGGTTCTGATGGTTTTGCATTATCTGTCTCAAGAACGTGTAAATGTTGTGCAATAATGAAGTGGCACTACTCAGCATTTCCCTTTTTTTTTTCTTGCTGAGCAACTCTCAGCTTGACCGGCCACCAGTAAACACTTGAATTTAGTTGAGCGTGGCAGTTCTTCTTGAACTTGGAAATTATAGTTTGACTCTTTCCTTCACCTTTTCCTGAGCTCCTGAAATTACTTGTGACTGACTCACCCCAAAGCGATTTCCACAGCAGCCGCCTTCGTCTCCAGTCAAGTGAATGTACAGAGCTGGGATCAGCACCTGTGGTGGTTCACAGCGGTTGACAGGGAATTAGATGAAGCATCAGCATGAAGCATGTTCAAAATAGGTCATAAATTAGGAAAAACAATTTTGTAACTGTGTAAAATAGTCCTCATGAATAATGCAATCGATTTGAAGTGTTTCTAGATTACGAGAATTGCAGATTTTTTACCAAAACACAAAATTAGGATTCAGAACAGGCAAAATAATCAAGTCTGCGAAACAGCACAAACAGAATAAAGTCAGTGTTTTCCACTTTTACCTGAGGCTGCACATCATACTTCAGAAAGTTTACTTCAGCATCAGACTGGAGAAGAGATAACTCACCATTACGCCTCCTCCGATCAGACCTCCCATGTATTTAACCTCATCTGTTATATGTCCCTCTTTGACATACTTCACATCCCAGCCAGGAAAGAACAAGATAATGTTACAGATGATGGATAGAAGCACTAAAGGGTACAGAGTAACGGCAATGAAACGGGAACATTTTCCAGTACACATGTTGTCAGAGAGAGAAACTGACCGACTGCTGTGGAAGCTCCTGTTCACTCACTTTTTTTATCTCAGATCAAACTTCCTCTTCTCAGAGGAGAACTTGACCAAAAATAGTGAGAAATGGGTTTGTACTGGCAGCTTAAAAGTATTAATGATGGCGAACCGCTGGAGGATGTAGATTAGTTTTAAACCAATAAACTTTGTACTCTAACTCGAATGGTGATATATATATATTTTTTTGTATAAAACGTAGTCTTCATTCTTCAGTTTCACTCTTTCATCAAGCCAGACATCTGTGCATGTATATCTGAAACCAGAAGTTTACATACACTGTATAAAAGGACAATAATCCTTTTTTTCTCACTATGTGACAATAAATGTGACTAAACTTTTCCTGTTTTAGGTCAGTTAGGATTACCAAAATTATTTCTATTTGCTAAACGCCAGAATAATGAGAGACAGAATTTTTTAGAGATTTTCATTTTTATTATTTTCTTCAAAGTCAGAAGTTTACCTACATTTCATTAGCATTTGGTAGCATTGCCTTTAAACTGTATGACTTGGGTCAACATTTTGGGTTTCCTTCCACAAGTTTCTCACAATAGTTTGATGAATTCTGGCCCATTCCTCCTGACAGAACTGGTATAACTGAGTCAGGTTTGTTGCTCCACATGCCTTTTCAGCTCTGCCCACAAATTTTCTACAGGATTGAGATCAGGGCTTTGTGATGACCACTCCACAACACTGACTTTGTTGACCTTAAGCCTCTTTGTAACTAATTTGTCAGTATACCTAGAGTCATTGTCCATTTAGAAGACTTATTTGCACCCAAGCTTTAACTTCCTGGCTGATGCCTTGAGATGCTGCTTCAATATTTCCACATAATATTCTCTCCTCATGATGCCATCTATTTTGTGAAGTGCACCAGTCCCTCCTGCAGCAAAACACGCCCACAACATGATGCTGCTACCCCCGTACTTCACAGCTGGGATGATGTTCTCAGGCTTCAAGCTTCCTCTTTTTTCCTCCAAATGTAATGATGGTCATTATGACCAAACAGTTCAGTTTTAGTTTCATCAGATCACAGGACATATCTCCAAAAATTAAGGTCTTTGTCCCTGTGTGCATTTGCAAACTGTAATATAACTTTAAAAAAAAAAAGCTTTTAGGCCTACATTTTCCTCCTGCAAAACAACTGTCCCTCTCTCTGTCATGTTTTTACGTTGGGATTGTTCATTTTTACGTAAAATTGACATTTTATTAAAGTGTTATTCTGACTTAAGCCCTTCCAACCTAGAATTCCCACTACAAGAACCAAGTCTGTGTAAAAATCATTTTAAAAAATTGTCAAGTGTTCAATGCAGAAGCAGCCTGGTTGGACTGTGAATAAACAGGATGTGCCATTTGTTGTTTTTCATTGTGTTGCATCACATTTGGTGTGTCGACAGCTGAGACGTTTTACAACAGTTTATATAACATGAGTTGCTAGTCTGCCGTTTACAGTTTTGATAAGGCAGAGTGCAAATGTTGATGTTGCAGTTTTTCAGATATCTGTCTGACCTGATGATGGGAACAAGGAGACTTATGTATTTCAGAACTTTCCTAAATTGTCTACAGAGCACAAGGTTGATCATTGTGGGGTCATTAGTACTGAAGAAGATCAGTGATGTGAAAACCTAGGGGCTAAAGTTCATCAAGATTATTTATATATACACAGATTTATATATTCATTTGATTTGCTTTTAATTTGCAACATGGAAACAGTCTGATTTAATGTCCCCTTTGTTGAAAATATGTTTTGCTTGTTACTTCACTTGACCTTTGGAATGATAAAGGAAGTCTATTTTTATACATGTACTTATTTAAGTTTCCCTGTGCTCTAATTTAAGACACGTAGACAAGTAGAAGTTTGTGATAACGCAAACTTGAAAGTCAACAGTGCTTAGATATGCAACTTGAAGCATTTAATTGCATTTGATTAACTGTGTGTCCTCCACTTTTCAGTAGTTTGCACTTGTTCCTCTGCAGGTGTTTCTGATCTGCTGCTACTGGTCCAATCAACCTGTGCTGTGTTTATGTTTATGTCCATTAGACCCCGTTACATCCCCTCTTAAGATGAGGAGAGCAACACAACAACCAAAAGATATGCAGGAGTCATTGTGAGGTGTAAATAAGTTTTATTTTAACAGTGCTTCAACAAAAATGTGCAACAAAGGTTCACAAAAGAGGCAGGAGGAATGGGACGAAGTGGTGGTGCCAAACAATTGAAAATAAGAAAAGAAAACAAGGCCTGACTAAGTCCTCGTATGTCACAAAACAACCCATTCAAATGACCTAACTAACTTCTCTACAAAAAGAGCTTTGACATAAATACACGAGTGGCACCAACCAATACCCGTAGTGTGTCTAACAAAGTCTCCTACACGCTGCATAATGTAGGGTACCCAAAAGTCCCCAATCTCACCACCACAGAAACATACTTCCAAGTTTACAGCAAACAAAACACAAGTCTCACAGACAAAGCAACATGCGGTCAAGATGGCAGCTCTGGGCCTGGTTTTAAGCTGCAACACACCACCCCCGATTGGCCAGCTCAACAAGTGGAAGCCAGCTTTCCAGGTGGATCCAAATCAGGTCATTAGCACCTGGGAATGAAACAGAAAGGAGGGGGAAGGAGAGGCAGAACATAGATACACACTCACACACAACCAGCCCTCTGGCACATAGCAGACCCCAAGAAAGAATATGTGCAAAATAATTGTTGGTATTCATTATAGACTTTTATGCTATGATAAATACATTTTCTGATTAGTTGACGTATTTTTGGTTCCAAATGCACGACAAATGTCCCTCTTTTTATGTAAAAATAAATAAATAAATAAATAAATAAAATAAAAAATCTTCAAAACAACAATATCTGTCCCCTAAACCAAATGACCTGGGGTCCAAAAGACCCCAAAAGTCCTGAATAGGGTTAAATTATTCTGGTTAGCTTTATGGTCAGTGTTATTTTGCACATTCAACTTTGCAGGTTCAGCTTCATTTTGCACAGTGATAGTTTTATTGTGTCTTAATCTATTTTATTATATTGTATTTGTATAGGGTACAGTAGTTTTCATACATGTGTTTTAAAATACAGTGTTTTTCCTCACCTCCCTATGCCATATCTATCTATCTATCTATCTATCTATCTATCTATCTATCTATCTATCTGACATGGTAATTGATCTTCAGACACAAATCATTATTTAATATTATCCAAGCAAGTGTCGCAGTGTTTTATATCTTTTATATAATTCATGGAGATCTTCAAACATAATAAATATCAGTCCTGTATCTTTTCATTAAATAATCTACAGAGGTTTATTTCTCCCAGAGCCTCGTTGGCCGTTCTTTTGCAGCAGTGACTCCCTTTAGGTCGGCCTGTCCTCTCCACAGGCCTCTGCTGTAAATATTGGGGAACCTTTGGACCACTCCCTCCGTTACTGAGGATCACTGCTGCCTACAGAGCCGCTATGGCCACGTCTCCGCTCAGAGACTTCCTCGTTACCTATTTAATGCCAGAAAAATGCTATGAGCATATTTTCGTCCACCTCCACTGGCACGGTGAGTTACCGCGGTTGTGAAATGTCGGTGTAAGCGCGTGAAATGTTGCGTAAAATCCGTCCAGATGTGCGGGACTGCATGGGAGCAGGGAGGGAGTGGAGGATGTTTTCTTCTCTAACGCTCACAGTGTGCTTGGAGTCCCGAAACAGAGATATCTGGTGGCCATCTGGGATGTACATTATTCTTATAAAGTCATGTTTTAAAAGTTATCCAGCGTTATGTGCTGCGCGCTAATGCTGATCATTTGTGTTCCAGTGCCTTGCCTGAAGTTTGTACTGAACAAAACTGTCGGATTTTGGATCATACTGGACACATTCCTGGGTAAGACTGCATATCTTGCCTGATTTAATCATGCAAATGACAAACACAAGCACTATGATTAGGTAACAGTGTTCCTCCTGACATGCCCAACAAGCCCCCTGAGATTACATTAACATACTTATCTATAATTAAAGCACTGTTGTGTCACTCATGTCTCTTTACACTACAATGATTGTAAATAATCAGAAAATTAGGATTCGAATGCCTTCAAGAACCTACTATGAACCAGTGTGTTGATAACCATGAGCACATCTGGCCTGGTGGTAAAGCAACTGCATTACTATGTCATCTATATGCAGATAGGAGTGGTAATGGGAAACTGAATCATGCCAGAGTGCCATGCGATGTAATGTTTGGGCATTTAATGTGAACATTAAAAATGTATTTGTGCATATAGAGTGTTTTGTAGTAGATATAAATCAGAGCTTACTGCCTGCTGCCGTGCACGGTGATTTCCAGACAGGGGACAAATTAAAGGAAAAAAATGGAACTCTTGAGCCCTATAGTGACCCATCATCTGGAGGTATTTTGCAGAATACTTTGGCTCCACTGGGCACTGCAAATCAATACAGTGATCGTCTATATCCTGTGATAAAACGTTTCTCTCCTGATGGGCGTGGTCTCTTCCAGAAATACAATACCCGCATGAATGTTTTGGTTCCAGGCCCAGAGTTGGCTGTGTGGTTTTCAAAGGTTCATTGCAAGATAGTCATTTGGATGGAGAGGGGAAACCATGGGAGGGAATCCAGTGGTGATAAGGGGGTTGTAAATGAACAGGAGAGGGAGATAACAATGGAAATACAATGAACAAGGGAACAGAAAATTGCACTGAGAATGAAAATGATGTGAATCATACACTGCGGCTTTCACAGTCAAGAGATCTCCACGACATAATTATAACACCAAATGAAGACATATATAAAATAAAATGGCGTTCATGCCTCTAGTAGAGCTCCAGATACCTGAAGAAGTAATTCCAAGGAACACTGGAGCTGTTCTTGTGACACATAGTGGCTCCACACCCTACGGAGACACTTTATAGTGGCTTTTCCTTTAATTTGTCACCAACTGCTGTGTGTTCACATATGGATTATCAGTGTTCCGTCTCATCAACCATCTCATCTCATCTGTTGTCTCCCTGCAGCACAACTGCCTCAGCTGCTGAAGATACTGTGGAGAGGAAATGCAGAAGGTCTGAGTCTGATCTCCGTCCTGCTGCAGCTTTATGCGTTCTCATGTCCTGTTGTGTATGCTATCGCCAACCACTTCCCACTCTTGTAAGTATATAACAACAAGACAATAAACAAGACAACACTGTTACTGGTGTTTCTGTGATGATGGAAACTGCACCAGCATGCATTGGATCTTTAAGTTTAGACAACATATTGCAGAAGTTTGCTTCTGTTTGCACAAACAAGTGGACATCCATTCAGCAAATACACATATACATACACCTTTAGCATAAGTTCAAAGATTATGGGTCCAAATGTTGCAGAAATTACAGTCTTTCTCTGTTTGGAAGCTGAAAAAACATACTGATCATCAACCTTTTAATTGAACTGCTCTACAGTGCCTGGGCAGAGAGGCTCATCACGTTGGCCCAGACGGCAGCGATTGTCTTCCTCATCCTGCATTACCGTGGCAACACTCTCGCAGGTCAGCATCTACACATTTTTTGCAACTGTAATACTGTGATGGTTTATCTCTAAATGCTTTGACTTCCTCTCTTGAAGCCACTTCTTCTGAGAATGTGTAAATCGTTCACACAACTATAAGTTCATGTTTAACGTTGTCCTAAAACAGTTTTTGGCAAACACGAGGTATGACGTGTATTTTTTTGCTATTGATGGGTTAAAGTTTAATAGTCTAGGGAGTGTTTACCGCAGCAGGAGGACAGACTCATATCAACTTTCAATATCATACTAATAAATTGTATCATTCATCTCTCTGTGAATCAGCTTGGCCGACATTTTTTTGTTTTCCAGCATGTGCTGTCAGTAGCCTTTATGGATTCAGATCATGACTGTTGGTCTTGTTTATGCTGCCTCACACTGATGGAACTATCAGCTGTCCAAATCTCTTGTAGTCAGTGATGTAATTAAATTTACACAACACCATGATTCAGAGGATTAGAAACAGGCTGCTGAAACATGTCTGTGTGGTGCCTCTGTCATCCAGTCTTATACTGAATGTGGAAAACAGTTTGTCAGCTACCAACTGTGTTAAAGGTGATTAAAAACCACTCACACACGCTTATTGTTTAACTTTTGGTCAGTGCTTTCCTGCAGCGCCACCTTGTGGTGTCTTGACTTATCTGAAAGACCTTCCACAGAACAGAGAGAGCTGGTTTTACACAGAGGTTGACATGATTATGGAAATTTTAAGTTGTGTTGGATAGCTGTTGATTTCGTATGAACATTTTTCTTCTGATTTTATGTTGGTGTTGTGTTGTTTTTCTGGTGTAGCAATTTCCCTGAGGTTTTGTACCGAAGGGATCAATAAAGTTTTAATCTAATTCTAATTCATACGTTTTTGTTTTTTCTCGTGGGGCATTCAAATTTCTAACATCTTACACATCTTATATCATGCTGTTGTGCATTTATTTGGCAGGAGTGCTGCTTCCCTCTGGTTTCGGCGGTCTTGTCTTCCTCCTGGGCTCATATGCGACTGCAGCAGTCGCCTCAGTGATTCATTCCTCCAGTTTGGCAGCTTTAATTGCAAGCAAGGTAGCAACTCTCCGCTTTAAATTGCATTTGCAGCTCCATTTCTGTGCTTGTTCTTCATTACTGGAAAGTGATTATGTAAAGTAAACATGCACGTATATGAGAGAAGAGTGAATTCATTTTGCTTGATTTGCTGTTTGCAGGTTTTCCAGACCACAACTAACCACCAGAATGGCCACACAGGTCAGCTGTCCACTCTGTCAGTGCTGCTATCATGGGCAGGGTCTCTGGGTGTCGTCTGGATTTCTCTGCAGGTACGCAATCAGGAATCACACACAATTGCAAATTTTACACTAATCTCACATCATTGTCTTCAGTAACTGAGCTTGAACCTTTATCTTGTAGGAAACCGGAGGCTCTCTTGCTACTCTGTCACACATCCTGTCAGCCGGCCTCAGCTGTGTCCTCCTGGTCCAGGTCCTCTGCTACAGGAGCATCACCGGCACAGATGCAAAGAAGAGAGAGTAGAGGTGGAGGGAGGCGACAAATCAACACTCACATCGCATGCATATCCTAACTGTCATGCAGCTGTTTGATTCTGTGCAGGAAGCTGGACTTGTAAAGTGCAGCAGTGAAGCAACTGTCAGTGTTTACAGGGTGTTTTTGTACCACTAAGTCTGATTGGTACTCTCAGATCTAAGTTGAAACAAGTTGCGCCTGTGAAAATAAGAGCTTTCATTGTCGTGCTTTTATAAAAACTTTATATTTTATTTATGCAGCTTGTTTCCAATTGCTGCACCGGTGAGAGAATAAAAAGTCTTTTGCTGCCCTCTAGTGGTTTAAATAGGAATTACTTTACTCTCAGGGGAAACCAATTTATTAGCATCTGCCTGTGATTGGCAAAATAAGAGCTTGATACTGGATTTCTTGGGAATACTGGTGATATGGATTTGAGGGAGTAAGAAAAGCTGATATCAATATATTGGCTGATATTGTTTCTATATATGTTATAGTTATATTGTAAAAATGGGGGGAAAAAATAAAGTGATGTCATTGTTTATCAGCTCTCCAGCAGTATATTTCACAAATTAGTCATTAGAATAGTAATTACATTCTCCTGGTCACTCTATTCTAAAATGTTCAGAAGTGAAGGCTAACTAATTGAGCATCCACATCTACAGGGCCTATAAGGATGGTTCTACCAGTTTTGGTGCTTTCCTTTATTGCTTTTTTAACATGAAATCATGGTTTAACTTGACTTTTTTGACAAGAGTTGACAAAATCGAATCCCTTATTTTATATTTTAAATGAATTGACATCACTTTGTAGAAATCAGTTTTCACTTTGTGAAGATTCTCAGTCATTCAGGTTCTGGTTATTCTCATAGATTAATCGTAGCAACTGGACTTGCTTGAGTTCCCTGAAGATGTTTCACCTCTCATCCAAGGGGCTTCATCAGTTCTGACTGACTAGTTGGGAGTTCCACTTATATCCTTCAGGAGCCATTAACATTCGAGTTTCGGTTTCAACTGGGGATTGTTGCTCCTCCCCCTCGTTATGTGAGTCGTTAGTACCCCGTCTGCCATAATGAGGTTCGTTAGGGTGTCCTGTGGCTAGGTGTGAATGTAGTTTTACCTTCCTGGGGAGAGATCTTAGGACTGAATTGTAAACAGGTGAGAGGTGATGCCTCAGACCTCCACCTCTGTTGAGGGATGGTCTTTCCAGTTTGATGTAGATGGCTTCTTTCACCCCTCTCTCAAACCATCTGTCCTTCCTGGCCAAAATCTGTACATTGTTGTCTTCAGATGAGTGTCCTTTGTCCTTAAGATGCAGTTTTCACTTTGACACTAAAGAGTCTTGTTTGAAAAGTCAACTGAAACTGACCATAATTCAATGTTGAAAAGCAATAAGAGTGGAAAGCTCAAGGGACGGTGTGCTTTTCTTTTAGTAGGAGCTGTACCTAACTCAGACAAACAAGTCTTCACTAGTCACAACTTCACTAGTCTTGAGTGCAGTCATGCAGCAGGAACAAGCAAACACATAAGCTCTCACCACATCTGGTCATGTCAGTCAGTTCTTCCTTTGCATCTAATAAGGAATGTCCTGCTGCGGATTTACTGTTCACAGTGCAGACTGGAAAAAGGATTGAGCCCATCATGAGATTTTTTAGTTAGATAACTTTTGTGAAAGCCTCTGGTCATATTTGGCATCACGTGGTATGATAAATTCCTTTCAGTATTTTGTAACATTAAGTTAAGCTGTACATGGTTTATAAGCATTCAATTATGTGTCCTTCACTTTTCACTTAGATTTTGGTTCTAAAACCTTTTTTTTTTCCACTGTGCATTCCAACTGCACCCTGGTTTTTATACATAAACATTTACACATCTGGCAGCTGCCCAACACTGGCACAGGTTTGTAGTATGGGCCATTCAGGAGCATACTGCAGCAAAGGTGCTTGAGGTCATTTCTTCAGGGGGTATTTACAGTGTAGATTAGCTTTTTCCTCCCAGATAGGAACGTTGTCACAGACCTTAAGAGAAAGCTTCACCAGCACATATATGTTTTCCTCATCACTTGTCCCAGTGCAATAGATAAATATAGAATAGTGTAGCCTGTTGGTGCGTTTACATTTCCTCCTGAGCACCACTTTTGACTGTAAGAACCTCTTCATGAAAGCTTCCAGCCTGACTGCTGAGCTTCAACTATTTCCAGCCACCATAAACAAAATGTCCAGTGTTGCTCAGAATCGCTCCACATATTTGTTGGAGCTCTGCTAAATACGCATTAACCTCGTTACCAAGAGGACTCATTTCTACGCCACAGAATACTGATTGTTTAGTTATAATAAACAATGTCTTCACAGGTTTCTAACACGATTTGTATTTAATGAATGTAACACCTGTTTTATCGATTGAATAATACTGTGAATCATTGCTGCTGCACATGAAGCAATAAAAATCAATCATCACCTCAGAATGCATGTGTTCGTACGTGACAGGAGGCACACAGGATCGACAGGGATGTCACCTTCACTCACCTTTTACGTCAGGACTTGAGGAGCTGTTTGTTATCTGGGTGTAAATAGCATTCTCTGCCTCCTACATTTTCCTCTGGGAGTCATGTTACACCTCCGTTTCACACAGCTGACTTTGTGAATGATAATATTAGTTTTTCCAGCACTGAGCGTCATAACTGCTGCTTTAGCGCCGTGACGCGCCTGAAGTTAGGTCACGGTGACCCAGCCGATGTTAGAAGACAAAGAAAATCCTGTATTTGAAACTTCTCAGAGGAGGTAGCTGATCTCAGCAACAAACTTGTCTCGAACTTTGAGAAAACATATGAAGAGTTCATTTGCAAAAACAGATAGCTCCATTTTTGTAGAGTTTCAGAAAATTTCTGTTTTTGTTGTTTGCTTGAGATAATAGCAATCAAACTGAAGTTGAGTGGATTTGACTCAGTAGAAGTAACTTGATGGGCGCCGCTATAGCTCAGCTGGTTGTGTTGGCATCCCATGAACAGGGGCTATAGTCCCTGACGCGGAGGTCATGAGTTCGAATCTTGCTCGTGGCCCTTTTCCGCTGGTCCTTCCCCCATTCTTCTCCTCACTTTCCTTTCTCTTAATTAATCTCGTAATTACTCTTCATACATCTGAACAATCTTTAACTGTTTCTTCAAACTCTTGCAGTTATGATGCATTTATGTTATGCCACTTAATCAACACAGTAGGAATGTGAAATCACAGAGTCCTGCACTTTCTGTTCTCTGTCAGCTGGTCGGGGGAAATTCATCAATTGGCTAATCCTGAATGTAGTGGTGGGAGGATTACTGGAATTCTTCTAAATGTGAGGAAATGAGCCTTTAAATTGCCCACAGTGCAACCATGAAAAAGCATTACAACAGTGCCGTACGTAATAAAAGGTTGAGTATCATTTAGTAGAAAATAAGCACGCGACACCACAATGTCTGTCAATAAAGAGACAATCCGATCATTTATTTCCTCTTCTTGTTCAGTGCACATACATTTGAAATCCCGTGACAGGAAGTGCATTTTGTAACACATTCATGAAACCAACATTCATTAACACCGCTCACCTCTTAGAGCCGTAAAGAGCTGAGCAGTTTCCAAACAGAAGTATTCTTATGACAAAACTCATTTTTGCACGTGCTTAACACCATCAATCATTCCCAGACCTCTCTGTGTAATTTTTAGGCTTTTGAGTTCCTTAAAAATGGCTTTATTTTAATAGTGTGGCTAAAGTAGTGGAAGGTGGTGGAATTGTTTATTGTGGATGGCACAAGTTTGGCACTAAGTTCGTGTGGTCAGATGTGCTTCAACTATTATTTAAAAGACAGCATTTTGTAGTCCTATAGAGCAGTCTGAGGAAGACTGCTGCAGTCTGATTATAATTAGGGAGGCACGATACTGGATTCTTGCTGATGTCTGATACTTTGCAACTCATTTTGGCTGATTGCCAATATTGATATAAGCACATTTTTTCCGCCTAATTGTACAGAACATCAAGTCTCCCTAGTAGTGGAATCAACTTATGTAATAGTTGATGTTACCGGTCGATGCTGGTCTATCTTAGATTCCTATAATGATGGCAGGTGCAGACATAAAACACTAATGCACACATTCACTGGGCAAAAAACTTCTTGAGCTAACATGTAAAATGGGCTAAATTGGTTTTTATCATATCTACCGGTCAGTGTTCATTCAGTGTTGATACTGACGATGAGCCGTTCTCATTGTGCATCCCTAATTATAACACCTTATAAACAGAGATGAAACATACAGTACAGCAGCAGCTACTGGTGTTCAGCACAGCGACCTTGTCCACTTGGATTCATTTTACTCGAAATCAAAAATATGTTCACTCACATAAAACGCCAAGAGGAACCACATACGGTGTTCACAGTACAAATGAGCGAAATAAAACAAAGTTACTTCAAAAGTAAAAAAAAAAAAAAAAATGGCAACCCTCTCTGTGGATATATTGTTCCTAAACAAACACCAAAACTTCATTATATAAAATAAACTCAAGTAACATTACTCTCCTTCCTTCTGTGGTGGTTTAAGTTAAACTATGTGTTCTTATGGCTCCAGTGCATTTATTTCATGTTTCATGACAAACACTGTGTGCTGTCAATGAAATGTGTTGACCAAAAACCAAAACCGCCTGACTCTTCAAGTAGTATCCTACACTTTATGAAGAAAGCACCAAGTCTGGCTCATAGGCTAATAGAGCAGTTTGTGTTACTTTAGAGTCTAAATGTTACCAACAGTGTCCACTAGATGGTCATTTAAACTGTAAAGGCCTCATAGCACCGTAAATGAACTGCACACAGATACTGTAATGATACTGAGCTGTGGGATTGTTCTTTTACCGTCCAATAAGAAAAGTCCTCTGTCTTAAAGTGGACTCTATTCAAAAACTGAAACATTATTATTAATAATGGGCAGGAGTGTGTCAGGTGTAATAAATAAACTGCAAAAAGTTGTCATTATAGTTACAATATCATGTAAAAGTATTAATTTTGACTTTGATGCCAACAAGTAACAAACAAAAAAATGAGATCATTTTAATATTAAAAAAGGCCAAATTGCTAAAAGTGCAATCGAGATTACAATGTCTAGTTTGTCCCAATTTGAAATTTACTGCATTTTCTAAAGCATCGTTTAGTCTTGCAGACAGTATCATTCAGTAACAAGTTTTTTTTTATATCAGAAGGATTTTAGCAAAATGTTTTGAAAGGGGAACTTAAAAAGGTGCACTGGAAATATGTTCAGGACAATTTCAATACACTAAATACTGCAATTCATTAATCTATTTGACTATAAACATTTATATTTTGCCATCACAGATGAATAAGTTAATCTGAACGTTTCAGAAATACTTGAAAAAGCCCATCAGGCTTCACTGACAAACTGGTGGACCGAGCGTACACGTCTAACACTGTGGTTCTGAAGAACTGAAGTCATATGCTGAATAATACCGTGGCGTAAACATGGAGGCAAGAGAGGAAAGAGTTAAGCAGTTAGAGCACAAACTAGCATAATAAAGTCATGTAGCACAAAGATGCAGGAACTTAAAGTTAATTAATGACTTTTTTTTGTTTTAATTGTCCATTAGGAACATATAATGAAAAAGCAATGATTTTGGACTCATAGTTTAATTAACTACTAGTTATGCAAAACAGGTATAATAGTTAAACTACATTCTCTCTCTCTCTCTTTAAAACGTATCTATAAATGTGTAACTATGCTGCACATGTGCTCAGTTATGCAGTGAAACCTCTCAGTGTTTCTGGCTCTACTACTTGATGTGCATTCATGAGGTATTAACAGCACAGTCGCTGAGCAGTTTCTATCTTCTATCTATCCTAATAAGGCTCTAGTGAAATTCTATATGTCCACTCAGCTACAACTGTAGGTTTTTGTTTGTGTCCCTAATAAACAAATATGTCCCCGAAGATGCTCTGAACTGCATTTGTACACAGACGTCAGCACACTGGTCTCTGGTCAGAGTGATCCATGTGTACAATATGTAGTAATACACTGAAGGTAGTTGTAGAATGAAACACGTTCATGTAAGGGAGGTACAGGGAGTCCAGTCCTTTGTTTAAATGGATTATTCTCACATTTGCCTTCACAGAACACCTGATTCATATTTATGCTGCATCATGTCATCAGTAACTCAGAAAAATGTAACGGGTGCACATTTTATTCTTATTTCTCTCACTGTTTTCTCTCCTTGTATGAGACACTGATAGTGACCTTTGCAAACATTGTGTACAACATTTGCTTTCACATCCTGTTTTGGCATCACTGGGCTAAGTGTACGCTTTGTTTGCATATGAGATCCAAACTGATTTTTCTTCCTCTGCTGTGGACACTAAAGACGAAACTTTGAGGTATTTCTTGTCTACTGCAGTTCCCATTCCTTATGAGAGCAAGTTTTTGGCCAAGAGCTGCTTTTAATCCCTTTACAGTTTTCCCTTTTTTCATTCAATCCTGAAAAACATATCTTATTCCATACAGTGCTATATATGTACATATTATATTAGATTTATCTTCATTTGAGCTATTCAAGCTTTTCAAACTCAACACTTCACAAAACTTTAGTCTGACATATTTGGCATTTCTAAAAACTTTCAGATCTCCACTTGACCTTAAAGTTCAAGTGGCTTTAACATTTTCTAGCTGACTGACTCACTTGTGACTCAGCAGTGACTCAGCGATCAGCAGGTTCTCTTTGACTTTTACAAGACTTGTTATCTCGAAGGTAGGTTTGCTATATTATACAGTGAGTCACCTCCTGCCAACATGAGGCCGTCGCAATGCATTTTTGAGACTGTCACATTCTTCTGCACACACCTATAAAGACTGAATCATAATGATGTGGCTGAGGTTAAGTGGCTGTGGGCACTGCTCATTTTCTCATTCTGAAGGGCCACATTTGATGCTTTCTCCAGAAAGCAGATTCTTTGTTTCTTTCTTATGTTTTTGGAATGACATAGTTGAAGAGTTTAAGAGCTATAAAGGAGTCATGATGTTGGATGTACTTTCTCTGGAGGACACACAGCCTCCTGTGCGGTTATATCTGTGCACATCTGTCACCAAGACAAACCCAAGTGCATTTGCGATGTCTGTCAGATACATTATCCAGCCCCTGAATGCAGTTTTTGCAGATATTTCACCTTCCTTCCTTCCTGACACCTTTTGCCTACACTGTTTTCTCATCGGAGTGTAAAACGTTACCTTTGCTCTTTCCCATCAAGAAAGCAGAGCATCTCCTGGTTTTTCTCTCACCTCATAATCATAAACTCATTAAATGAGGACTCACTTAACCTATGCACTCAGAGCTTAATGAGTTACCCATTTTCCACTTTCCTCGTCCCTGGTGTTATCTGAACTGCTTGTAAAATTTGCGCAGTTCATCCCAGAAGAACAGAGACAGAATGGTGTGAGGACCGAGTCGGAAATAAGATGCTCCCAAGCCTTTGTAGAGTCCCGTCAAGCCCTCCTTCTTCAGTGTCTGGGAAAAGCAGTCAGTGAATCCTTTATAAAGCTGCCCCTACAAGATAAGAGAAGCACTGTCATTCAGTCAACTGAATAGATGCTGTCATACAGTCCCAGCTTGAAGAAATAAGAGTGTCTGAGCCCCCCTCTGTGATCTCTACTCACTGTATCAGTTACAATCCCTAAAAGAGAGTCCACTGACTTCAGGGTTTCTGTGGGTTTCAACATGTGAAACTTAAGATACTTTCACGATTACTATTGACGCAAAAAATAAATAAATAAATAAATCACCCTTACTGTTTACTGTGATGTGCAACAATCTAAAATACCAAACACAAAGTACTACAGATTTTTCCAAGGCTATCATGTGTAAAGTCCAGAGCACTTTGCTTTTAATGTAGGTTTGGATCAAACTGCTGTCTGGAGGTCCCTCACCGGAGTTGCAAGAGTTAAAGTTGTTAGTGCTGAATGGAAATTTAAAGTCCCTCTATGATCATTGATTGAATTTCTAAAAACTCATCCCTGTGTATCAAAGTTACATATTTAAAGTTTTTTAAAAAAATGTTCTGTTCCTGCCTTATAAATGGCTTCTGTGGCGCTCTACACTGTTGCCTCCTCCCATGTAGTCCCCGCCTCTTTCTCCGCCCACCCCTCCCCACTCCCTGCCGCCTGAGCACACCGGCTCACCGTCAACTCAGCTCAAACACTACAAAACTGCTCTTCGCTGCCTATGGGGAACTTGCAATGCTGGAATATTTCAGTCGTACATGTTCGAATCCGAAAACTAATTCTGAAGAAGAATGATCATAAAGAACGCCCTGAACGCAAAGAGGACGTTAAACACCGGAAATTTCAATCCATCCACTGCTGCTTCAAGGTGGAAATACTCTGCCATAGCATTAACTGCTTATTTCACTCATGATGTATCATCTAGGGTATAGAAAATTAAAACCATAAGGCTGTGTTAACAGATTAAAACATTTGATTATTCCATTTTATACTTTTTCAGGCTTTTTTAAGGACACTCTAGAAACTCTAGATTTAACATTACTATAACACCAATATTAGTCACTTTTATAAAAGCATCCAAATCAATGCAGCAGAACCAGAGATGTTCTCTTTTTATTTCCACTCATTCTTCTTTCTTGCCAAAATCTGCTGCTTACTTCACCCACAATGCAACACAACCAGCAACAGCTTGGTTTGGAGATTCAGATATGCTAAGCTACTAGCAGCTACTGGAGCCTCAAGGCTGCATTGGGCATCAGCACAACAATCTCTCACATCGTAGCGGCCGTCACGCTACGCAAAAAAGCCAATAAATAATACGAGAACAGTAAATAGCTGATGGTGAAAGTCATATATAAAACAGAGTGTATTATAGGGAAAACGTCTACTCACCTTGCCCAAATTGTCCACAGGCTGGTTGTAGAGCCGTGTGCTCACCACATCAAAAGGCGTCATGGCCAGCACCACCACCACACTGCTGATCATGCCGGCGCTCAGGGCCACCAACCAGCTGTTGCTTGGGAACACCTTGGGGAAGAAGAAAATAACAGTTTGTGATGCAACAACCTCAAACAGGATGAGTACGTTTGGGAATCAGTCTTGCTCAGGTCACAGTATTACAGAAAAAAAGTGACAGCCTGCAGTGAAAGTAGATCAGTAAATTATCATCAAGGTGGGTGTCACCACGTCAGCAGCCGCGACTAATTTTAACAGGCCACGACTGCAGCCTCACGTGCAGTGAAACGGAAGAATGGTTCTATTATTAGAGGCTATGGTATGTTACACACTGTTCAGCAGCTACAGCCAACGCTATTTTATATGTGGCCCTGTTGTTTTTCTGCACAGAAGAATGTAAAACACAACTTTACGACACACAGAAGACGACATTTAAACTGAAGATGTGACGTCATATAAGAATAATGCAGTAAATAAAGAACACTGCAGCAGCTAAAGCATTTTTACTTGAGCCTGAATGATCTATCAGTTGGTCGACATCGGCCTATCACAGATAAGTGTATACTTTATCTGATATGAAAACTTTCTTTTACAGAACATAAAACAGAATTCTGACCTTGGGGTAGTTTAGAAACTGTTATCATACAGTTTCTCCAGCACTCAATTTCACTCTCTGCACTGTCTGCAGCGCATGTAGCAGAGTGCACATCACAGCTGTGGTGGTTTGGAGTCAAGCTGTGTCTTCATTTTAAGTTGCTAATTCATTTGTGAAACACATTGTTGGGAAAGTATTAAACAATGATCCTATTTTTTTTCCTCTTCACTATAACGCCAACACATATATACATATATAAACAGGACTGACTGATATTTTAGAATTTCTTAATCTCTAAAATTGGCATTGAGCCCAAAATTCCAAAGGAGCCAATGGAGGCTATAGGGCAATAGCTGACACTAAATGAACACAGTTGCTTATGTCGTGCTTCGGTGGAATAACATAGCAGATGATGCAAACAGCAGTGGGAGTGATGCCTGGTATGTTGGAAGGTGTGGTCAGACCCTCCTCCACCCTCCAACTCTCCCACCAACCAACCAGTCAAAGCAGCCAAAAGAAATTCTAGCAAATACATTCAGGAAGAAGTAAACTTTTAAAAATGTCAGGGTTTTTTTCTAAACATTTCAGAGGACCAGTTATGTGAGTCCAACACTGTCCTGGCATTTGGTTTGAAAGACCTTTTATAACCAGAGTTAGGTCACAAAGCTACTCCCAGTAAACTGATGCACTAGTTGTGTAAGCGTCATGGTTTCAGCCAGGGGGCCAATAAAAGGTGTTGGGTTTCTATTCCAGAGGAGGACAGGGTGCTTTGTCAGGACCACAATGACTGTTTTTGTAACCTGCATGCAGCTCCTGACTACCAATCATCTCTACTTAAGGCTGCACCTCTGTGTTTAGGGCTGTAACTAATGATTAGTTTCACAATCTGTGAATCTGTTATTATATCATTTAGTCTAAATAATATGAGCAACTGTGAAGTCTTTAACTGTCTTTAAATAGTGTTTTATCCAACCAGCAGTTCACAACGGAAGAGATCTTTACTTTAGCATCATACAGGACCAAGTAAAAAGCGAATCTTTTGAGCGCTATAGGATGACTGGAGGCACTTGTGTTGATTCATTTCCCCACTTAACATACCACAGCGGCTCTGTCCGAGGCCTACAGTACATACAGCCGGACCCCCAAGAAAGAGTCATGTTTATTCTTGCATCGTGTGGTCATGTGGAAAATGTGCACATATGGCGGAGGGCTGAGTAAACAAAACTCCCCCCGGTCGGCTCAACTCCCACCTCATCGCCGCAGAATTCAGACGACTGTCAAATTAAGACAAAACCCAGGCGAGTTATGGATGCTAACCTGCAGGTCAATGACAAGCTCTTTGGAGGAGGAGAAGGTGCAGAGCTGAGCCGCCGACCCCACGCTGACCCTGGGCACAGCAGCGCTGGAGCCCCTCCACAGTCCCAGAATGCCGTGCTGCCTGTAGATGGCTGCCAGAGCGTGGAACATCCCCTGTCAGGAAGAAGAGGAGGAGCACATGAGGGAACTGCTGATGCCCCCCCACTCATATTTATACCTGCAGTTTGGGTTGTTAGGTTACCTGGTGTTTATACTGATGGCCAACAGCGATGGAGGCGGTAGACTGACTCTGCAGGTGAGTCTTCACCTGTCAAGAGAGACAATTTGGGTTCATTATCGTCCACAGTTACAAAAGACAGCTCATCATGATGTCACACCTCACCAACTTTTATAACAAGAACAAGGCTGCAACTGATATATATATAAATATTAAATACAAACTTAAATTCATTATCCAAATGGTTTACTTTAGTATCAGTGGGTAATTGCAATGTCCTAACGTCAGATGTTTTTTGGCACAGTCATTAGTCGGCAGTTTCCAAAGACCTAAGGTTTGCAAAAGTATGACAGTACTTCAAATTATCACAGGACTAAAAAGTAGTTTGTACACAGTGCAGAGTTTCATTGCCAAACCACAGCAGCACAGGAGCTACTCTTCTCTCCTACTCTCTGTGCTCACATTTCAATATAGCAGAATTCCTGAAAAATGCTTATTTACATGTTTTTCAGTTTCTGCTATCGGACAACAGAACAAGTACGAAACAGTGACTGAAGCGCGGATCAGTGAGACTACATACAAACCAGCAATCACTTCTAAGATGCTGCGCTGCACCGTTACAATCCTGATCGTATACCAACTACGACGTCTGACAAACTCGCGAAACACAGAAATGACAGGAAACTACTGTGCAGCGAGTTCGGCAATACTTTTATAAAGTTCTAAGCGAGTACCAAAGTCAAAGAGCAATTGTTAAATATGAAGAAAATACTTATAAAATTAAAAATGAAAGTTTTTTGAACAGTTTTTAACTAATACTTCACATAATATTCTGCTATTTTACAGATTTTCTGAGATTCATTAAATTACAGATAATATTTAGTAAAACCACAGGGAAAAAAAACTTACTCATGCCAAACAAAAAAATTTTTAAAAAACAAAAAAAAAAACAGGACAGAACAGTAAATAATGTCCACTTCAAAAATCTTTACGTTTACAAATCGGAATTCATTCTTTTACAATGTGTGATCATAAAATTAGGATGTTTTACTGCATTTTAAATCAGCTACACAATATTATTATTCAGATATCAGGTTTGTTTGTTGTTGTTTTTGTTTTTAGTCTTGCACTTTATTTCAGATACAGGCCCAATTTTGTTTTTTGTTTTTTGGAGTTGCCACTGAAGTAAACAATGACAGCTCTTTTTAAAATATGTTCTGTATATTTTGCACTTAAACATGTGAGCCTTTGTTCCCATGCCATCCTGTGCAGCATTATACAGTTTACACAGACATACAATAACAGTCACAGTAACGTGAAGCTGAATGAAAGGGCCCTTTAGCTTTGATTAATCGATTTATGAGATAATCGATCGATTAACAACAGAAAAATCGATAGTGATAGTACTGTCAGTCCTAAATAAAGAGACAGAGGAGGCCTGCCGAGGCTGCTGACCAGGTATATGGGGCTGCCCATCACGGCTCCCACCACTCCGGCCACCGCTCCGGCGGCGGTGGTCTTGACCGCGCTGACCCTGCCGTTGGTGTGGATGTAGCCGGAGGACTCGATGATGGCGTACGAGCCGAGCCGGACTCCATTCATGAAGAACTGGTAGAAGAGGCCGGGCACCAGTCCCTTCTGTAAGCCGGCCAGTCCGTCCACTTTGCCGATGGTGTAGAAAGCGTGGAACACGTTGCGGTAGTAGACCTGGTAGGAGCCCCGGCTCTTCAGCTCTCCCTGCAGCTGCATCCGCGTCTTGACCACCTCCAGCGGGTTGGTGAACAGACAGGCCCCGCAGGCCGCCGCTCCGCTCAGCACGAAGTCCATGACGAGCGTCCGGCCGGAGGACAGATGCGGAGTTCAGGCCTGCTCGCAGTCCGATCTGCCCTTCATGCCAGCGGGCTCCTGCTCAGCGGCGTTTCCCCTCCCACAGCCCGGACACCGCGCTGACAGCGGCGGGGACACGAGGCCACTTCAGGGCCTCCTCGGAAACAGCGATATCCTGTTCGCCAAATGTAAACATTGGCTTGTTTGCTGATGGAGGTGTCAGAGGTCACAATCATCACATTCTAGTACAGACTGGAAAAGAAAAAAAAATCCCATTCCTATATATGTAAAAATCATTTAAAAAAAAGATTATTTAAAGATAATATGAAACAACAACAACAAAAACTGTACAATAAGACACAGAACCTTTTTTTTTCTCACTGTCTGATATTAAATCAGACAACATTTATCCTGTTTTGGGTCAGTTAGGATTACCAAAATTATTTCTATTTGCTAAATATCAGAATAATGAGAGAAAGAATTTTTTTGAGATTTTTATTTATTACTTTCTTCAAAGTCAGAAGTTCGATTACTGTGCCTTCAAACTATTTAGGAAAGCCCAGATGATGATGTCATGGCTTTGGGAGCCTTTTATAGGTTAATTGACAACATCTGAGTTAACTGGAGACACATCTGTGGATGTATTTTAAGGCACACCTCAAACACACTGCCTCCTTTTTGTGACAACATGGAAAAATCTAAAGAAATCAGCCAAGATATCAGGAAGAGAATTGTGGACCTCCATAAGTCCTGTGCAATATCATTATTTGCCACATTTGGAGGAGTCTGTGCAATATCTGCATTTCTACACATGAAAGAATTTGTACAATATCAGGAGCAATAATGTGTTTTTCTTTTTCATCTTTTCTTTTTCTGCTGATATCTCTATATTTTTGCACTATCCCATCTGCTGCTGTAACACTGAACATTTGGGTTTCATAAAGACTTATCTTTTCTTATCTTTGTCAGTTTCTTTGTTCCATTTAACAAACTGTATTTTTCTTATTGCTACACCATACTCGATGCCTTACCACTATCACTGATATGATAGTCATGTCAATAAACATATTCGGTTGTAAAATTTTAATTGTATTTATTTAAACTGGACAGTACAGCTTTAATATGAGGAGTGCAATCTGTTTCTGGAAATCACTGTTTGCCACAAAACAGGAATCAGTGGTAGAAGAATTCCTATAAAACGCTTAAACTGTTCACAACGAACAGCTGTATAACATTTAAGACTTCAATTACACTGCGAACTGATTACACGTTTTATAATTTACCGCGTTGTGTCCGTACACTCTGTCCGTCCCCTGAACGCCTCACCGTGGAGGTCGGTACCAGAACGTCAGCACGCACGTTGGAAGCGTCTCTTCTCAGCCAATGAGAGCGGCTCTGGTTGGTTCACGTCAAACTGTATTGAAGAATGGGATTAACAGGCAGTCTGTGGGGATTAATACCAAACTGAGTGCAAGTGAATGAGAGATTTCTCAGTAGTGCCTGCTTGTCCGAGCCACTAGTTTCTGTATAAAGTTGTACCGCACTGATCTTTATTTTCAGAAAATTTATTAGAATGTAATATTCTATGTTCTTCACCTCAATATTCAAGTAAATCAGAACATTGTGCACATTTTCTAACATTGTAGGGTCTTAATTTTACTTTATAATATTGTAGCTTCTTGACCTAATGTTAAATTACTTGGTTATTGTTGCACACTACATTTCACAGTCGTGTCTTCCTCCTTAATATTTAGGTGAATTCATGACTCCAACCTTATTTCTCTGCTGCAAAAGTACTTTGGTTCACTGCTGTTGTTTTTAAATGTGCCACATCAACTGAAGTGACTTGAAAAGAGACAATTTTCCATCTTCCAATATGCAAATGTTAACGTACAGTCGTCCTCAAATGTATTCATACCCTTCCGTTAAAGAAAAGACAAAATTCACAATAGTCACTCAAATAACTAGAAACTGAAAAAAGTAGTAATAAATAAAAAAAAATGCTAAATTATAATTTAGTGAAATAAGACATTGCTTTTGAATTGGGGTTGAAAAGAATAATTTAAAAAAAAAAAAAACTGTCCCTGACAAATTAGAGCACTTTGTTGATGAGCAGTGGCCAAAGTCAAAACACCTGTCAACAGGTGCAGAAGTCTGATTGCGAGTTACAGAAAACATTTGATTGGCTCAAAGGGTTGTTCAACAAAATATTAGTTTACAGGTCTCATTATGCTTGCTTGCTTGTTGTTGGTTTATTTTGTTTGTTTAAATATATATTTCTGTTGAACCACAATTCAAAAGCAATGTCATGATTTTAATTAAATTTTTATTTATTATTACTTTAGTCAACTTCAGCTTATTTCAGTGACAGCTGTTTTTTGTTTCCTTCTTTAATGGGAGGGTCTGGATACATTTGAGGAGGACAATATGACTCAAAGAACTTCTTTCCACACATATGGACCATCTGTCACTAACGCTGAGTCATGATCCTGTCTAATCAAAGTGCAAATTACTGACAATAACCTTCCCATGGCACAGTAATCTCTGGTTAAAGATTATAGGATATTCAAATGATCATTTATTGATTATTGTTGTGATAAGCAGGTGGATAATATAACCACAGAATTCCACCTTCATGCTGCCAGTGAACAAGACATCTAGTGGTAGAAAGTAACTAAATACATTTAGTAACTTTTAGTACACAGATTATCTGCTGTCCCACTGAATTATACTTTAAAGTAGTTCAAACTGGCTCCACCTGCAGCAGCTACAACAGTAACACTGCTGACACACTGATGCTTCTAATGATGAAGATAAATCAGTCACAAGGACCAAACAAGTACTTCTACAGTAATAATTTAATACTTTAGCTATTTGTATCTAAAACTTTTGTGCTTTTATTAGAGGAAAGATTTTTCATGCAAGACTTATTTGTAGTGGAGCATTCTTACACTGATGTAGTGATACTTTAGCCAAGTAAAAACTGCTGATATCCAAATGAGAGAACCTTTAGCTTTTGGAGCTAAATGCGTGTAACATGCAGTATGCACACTGACCTGACTGATCTTTGCAAAGGACCTAAATTGGCGTTAACTGACGATTTAAGCTCTTTTTCTACTATTCTATTTTTTAAATTAATTTACTTTTTTTTTTTTTTTTTTTAAACTTTTTCTTAATTGACTATATTTTCTAGCTTGTTATGATTTGGTGTTTTTATTTTTGCTGCTGCAACAAAATAACTTCCCAGGTCTGGGATAAATAAAGTAATTCTATTCTATTCTATTCTTTTCTATTCTATTCTATTCTATTCTATTCTATTCTATTCTATTCTATTCTATTCTAATGATTTGATTCTATATTTACTATAAAGATGTAGGTCGGGCTGCAGCTTTAGCTCACCTCGTTGAGCTGGTGACCCCTGTACAGGGGCTATAGTCTCCAATGCAGCGGCCATGGGTTGAGTCCCGCTCATGGCCCTTTGCTGCAACCCCTTCCCCCATTCTCCTCCCCCACTTTCCTGTCTCCCTTCAACTGTCCTATCCAACAAAGGCAAAAAAAATAAAAAAGAAAAAAAAGATGTAGGTCAAATGTCAGGTCACAGTAGAGAAGCCTGATGCTCTGCTTAAGAATCTTGTCTAGAAACAAAGAGTAATCCTGCTCAAAAAGATTTACTGGATGTTAAAAGCACTCCTTAGGACTTAAATTATTTGATTTATTTAGGCTGTTTAAAACAGCTTTAGTTAATCAGTAACATTAAACCATAGAAAAAAATAAATACATTTTTAGAAAATTCACACTGAACATAGATTTACATTTCATACAACCCCTGATCTTATATGGACACATTCTGCATAATTTCTATTCAGACTCTCCTCAGTGAAGTAAAGGGAGTTCAGGCACATGTCTGTTAACCAGGGCAGCCCCGTCCAGCTCGATTAGTGATCACTCTGTGAGACAGAACGGTGACTTCCACTGCCACATATAACCACATCTCTGTTTAATCAGCTGAGGAGCACTTAGAGCTCAGCTGCCTGACAATCACAGTTCAATTTAACACTGCCAGTGTGTGCAGAAATGTGACGGGATACACACTGAATGCCTCACCAACACAGAAGCTCAGCATGACATACATACAGATATACAGCAATACATAGTATAGGTCGCCTACAATAGTACAATAAAAAAGAATAAAACAGTAAAATAGCAGGTCTTCATAAAGAGCATGGTAAAACTGTAGCAGTACAGTGGTGGAAGAAGAACGAGCCTCAGTTCAGTGTTTGAGACTGATAATTATAGGTGCAGTGACACTATTTCTGCGATTTCACCTTTGACTTCACAGATGAACGCCGAGTGATCAGATCCATGCAGGTATCACTGTCTTTGAGCTGCTTTGGCTCAGCTCATGTCTGGGTGGGTGGGTTTGTTCTACGTCACTGAGCTGGATTAGACTTGAAAGTAAAATCTGATTCACCTCTACCCCTTTAAAATAGGATTTGTTCTTAGGGTCTTTTGAGCAGCCCCAGCCTGATGCACAAAGACTGGTAATGGGCTTAAACAGCCCTAAGTAGGACTTCATTTCATGTTTTGGTTGTGATGGTCCTTCTGTTCAGACAATTATTTGTTTTCTACCATCTTTTTTTCATTTGTTTGATTTGTCTTTCAAATAAAACAGACCTTTCTTGGCATGAAGTATCACACGATAGCCTTGTTTGACCAACACACTACAGCAACCACACACCAAAGTGTTTAAGTTAGTTGAAACCACAGACTGTGGATGTAGGTCACATTGTGACTTCTTTTAACACTGAACAAATTTACCTCATGTTAGCATGTTTCAGTCCAACACACAGACCAATCAATCAGTGTGTTTTTTTGTTTCTCATGTTAACATCTTCATGATTAGAATTGTACTATTACATTATGGACGCTGTCGCAATATTAAAATGAACAGGGCCTTTCGGTTCCTGTCAGAGCCTTGCACTGTATTGCTATAGTAATATAAATCACTGCTGACATGCTGTCCTGCAGCATGCTTACTGGATTTTATATGATTAAACTGATACGTGATTGAAATGTGGTTTAGTTTCTTAAATCAAACATTAAAAGCAAACTTTGTGAACAGAAAAAGTACACCAATGCTTTGAGTTTGCAGCCATAATTAACTTTTCATGTTTGACTTTGAAGGTGCTATTATACCAAGTTGTGTTAAGTAAACTGAAACTCCATCAGGAAAACTGGGCCACAGCAATAAATTACTGCAAACGACAATGCACAATGACTTCTCCTGTATTTTCCACTCATAATTAAACTGCATATTTTCTGCTGCTACGTTGACATAGATTCTCTGCGGTACTTTCTGTCCTGCATGAGCTAAATCCCTTAGTTTCCTCAACCAAATCCCCTCACCTGAAATATGCTTCTCTCCCCCCTCGCCCGCTCTCGCACATTAACGGTAAACACCTTTGCAAAGATCTGCATGCAGCATCTATGAGGAATATAAACCGCAGTTCCTCACATTAATACAATTCAAGGATTATAATAACCCCTGGTGCTGCAGTGTTGGTACACTTGTGATTCTGCAGCCTGCATCTGAGCCAGATTGTGAGCAATCAAACTTTGCTTTTTTGTGTATCTCAGGCTTCTGTATTTTTCAGTGGAATCATTCAAATGCCAAAACATTAAAAATGTAAAATAGGACAACTATAAATGGCATCAAACAATCAGCTGTGGTTTCTTTCTTTCTTTCTTTCTTTCTTTCTTTCTTTCTTTCTTTCACTGTCCTTCAAACCAAGCAGGGTTTTCTTTTTTTTGATGTTGAACGGTGTTGAATGGTGCCTGTTGAGTTAGTGCAGGATTTCTCATCAGTAATCACTGCTGCTGCTGAGTTACACTAATAGCCTCTGCCAAGTTGCTCCCTCCGATAATGTCAGGGTGTAATCCTCACCAGCTAATGAACTACCAATTAGGATTTCAGGTGCAGAGTAAACCTCGACCTGCAGCCCCAACCTGTCCAACACATCTACACTGTAGAGCGAGGAGGGGAGAGCTGCCGGGTTCCAGACCCTGACGGGACAGAAATGATTTCTGTTTCCTCCTGTTGATGGAGGGAAAAGGAGAAAAAAAAAAAAAGGGAGAAATTTTACACGTCGGATGATATCCAGTTGGAATTAATTTATTGTCCTCAAGTCCTCATTTGAATCTCTGCTTCTGCAAGAAAGTACGGTGAGTGCTGCTTTATCATTTAAAATATTTTCTTTTAACACAGTTGTAGCGTTTTTTTTTACTAATTTAATTTATGGGTTTCGCTATTAATCTTGCATATTATTAAATATTCCTTCAATCAAGACCTACAAGACATTTTTTTAAAAATAATTTAAATGATCAACACCTGAAACCCTGAAATCAACAACTGGGTATATTTCCCCCTTTTCCATCATATGAATTGATTTCTTTTGGTATTTTAAGACCCACGTGGACCAAACAATAGCATTTTAGTGGGTAATACACTACAATAAGCTTTGTTTAAGCACATTTAAAAGCAGGTCAAAAGATGTAGGTTAATTAACAGGGAGGTCAATCATCTCTATGCAAATCAACAGTCAGTGTTAATTGGATTATGTCGAGTCAGGACAGCATCTTCTCAGCCAGCAGTATCACTTTCAGTACTTCATGTACCAGAGCAGCTTATACACATGAAATACACACCAGAAAGACTTAAGGCAATCCAGTGGTCCACTTTGGTGCCCCAATTTGTTAAGAATATTTGCTATTTTTTTCCCCTCTGGGCCTCAGCATGCAGTGTTATAGCATGTGGAGATAATCCAGTAGAAATATAAAGATGTTTATTATCAGAGCTGACTGTCTGATGAATGTTCTGAGCTTTTGTGTGTCATGGTTGGTAAGAAAAAGTTTGTCTCCTGAACTGTTTTTCCCCCACCAGTAACTTCCTTTGTTGTAAGAAGAAGCCTGATTCATTCATCTTGCAAGAAGAGTTTCTCAGTTAGCATCGTGTAAAAAATCTGTAGTTACATGTAATCATATCTTTTTTTGACTCCAACAAAAGCTGCCCTGAGAAGGAATTGCTTCTTCTGCTTATATATGTTTCTGCATAGCAAGAGCACAATTAGTAGTTCAGATGATCTCAAATCTGCAGAAACAAAAAGACAGAAAGAAACCAGGCTGAGGAAGTGAAGATATTTTGGGTTAACCGCTGTTAGCTAATGCTCTGCTTCCTATGGCTGCACCCATTTTGAGGTGCACGCAAGCCTCATCTGTGGAATCAGAAATAACAGCCCCCTTCGTTCACTGTTGTGTTTTGAACAGCAGGGTGCAGCATATCACTTTTACTCACCGGACAGACACAGGACACAGGCGTTTGTTTGCCATTCCAAATTAATGAGCCAGTATTAAGCTGTAAGTAAACACAGCAACAGCTGAGCCCAGATAAACACGCTGGAGATAATGTGATTTGTGCAACTACCAGCAACAATGAACAAAAAAAAGGACAGAAAACCAAACCAATGCATTTAAATTCAAATCAACTAAATTAGCATTTGAACTCTGGGGAATTAAATGATTTTCTGCTTGAACTTGGTATAAAAGTTGATCAAAGTCACACAAACAGAATCTTTACTGAACAATTTTAATAAACATTCACAGTGCTGGTAGAAAATTTCAGTGAAAGTTTGGATTAATAACCGATTAAACCTCATTTGGAAGCATTAACCTCACATAAAGTCTTGCAGATCAGACCTGCACAACTTTTAGGAGCCACTTCCTCACAGAGCTGCTTCAGCTCCACCACATTCGTCTGATGTCTGGTGTGAACATCTGTGTTCAGGTCACTCCACTGCATCTCTAATGGTTTAAGATTTGACTTTGTTTGTTTGAAGCCATTTACTTTGCTTTTATGGGTGATTGTTGTCATCTGCTGGGTTTCAACCGGGATGATGCTTTCATGTTGGGATGCAGTGCTCTTTTTATGCCACACATTGTTGTGCTTCCCAAACAACTCATCCTTAGTTTCATTCATCTACAATTTCCAAGTAGAATTGTGTCATGTCAAGGTTCTTTAGTCAAATTTAAGGAGTACACTGATGAGGTATGGTTATCTCTATCTATGGACACCATGTTCCATTCCAGCGTGCATCGTGATTTGCGTGTGGTGGACTAACCAGCTTTAATGATCCCTTTAAGCCTTCAGCTTAATGAGTGTTCTGCAGCCTGCTTTTGGAGTCATATTAACTGGGTGGCCATTGCTCGGTGGAAGAGAGACTAACTGGATTTCTAAACAACTTTTCTAACTGTAGACTGAGCAATATCTCAACCCTTACTTTGTAAAGCTTTTGAGCTTAATGCAAATCAAAATTTCTTGATCATAAGAGCTTAAGCTCCAATCTTGTTGTATTGTTTAGACTCCGTGTACAGAAACTCCTGACACCAGTGACTTATGTTTGTGTCATTAAACCTGCACTGTGAATGTTGGAATGATAAGGAATGATACCTGTTTAAATGTTAATAGTTAAAGTGGTGTCAGTTCATAGCTGTGATTTGTAAGAGAATGTTAAAAGAAGGTCATTCTAAAAAGCTCACTTAGTTTTTCTTGCTACTGTGAAAAGAGGACTTCAGTGATGTTACTGACAATAAAAGCCTGAGTCGGAGTTACAGATGCAGGGAAAAGGAGAGAAAGTATATACAACCAAAATGACACAGACAATAAAAGTCAGAGGTTAAGTCAGATAAGGGTGAGCGGGTGAGGGACAGCATGTGTGGCTTACATGCAAACAAATGATGCTTTTCTCAGAGCTCATTTGTCTATGCCATTTTAGCAGTTAAAAAAAAAAAAAACTAACCAGATGTAGTTCACTATCATAAAGCTGCTCCATTCTGACAATCTGAACTTGATGTAATACTGTCTTGTTGTTATTTAAGATATGTTCATGCTTTCTGAAGTTAAAAAAAAAGATGCTTTCCAGTTAAAAAAACATTTTTGCAAGTGGGTCTAGGTAGGGCAGCATCTTATTAGTTTGTACATTTCACAATTGTAATGGATTCTGGGGAGGCAAACTACTATCTGTTACAATCATAGACTCATGGGCTGCACTCACTACTGATGACAGAGGAAATACATTATAATAATGCCAGAAAACACTATTTTAAAAACCCTTTATATTTTTGGGCTTTTTGTGCAGAAAGCAAAAGAATGGGAGTGATTCTATGTTTATCTAAAAGTTGAATCAGATTATAACATTGTGAAAGTGCAACAGAAGTCACAACTGCTACCAAAAACCATGGAAATAGAACAAAAATAAAGCTTTGAACTGTAAAAACAGATAAAATAAATGTAAAGTAGTAACTAGAATATGTCAGATTTACTCAAAATGTGTTTGGTATTTTGTATTAAACTCTTCAATAATGGTAAGAAGTCCTAAAAGTCACAATGGAGCTCATTACAGAAACCTATTAGGAATTTAAGAATGTCAGCAGAATGAGAACTAATAGACAGGCTGTACAGTGGGTGTTACATTGTTGGTTGTGTTGTGGACTAGATGGAGGTTATCAGTGATGCTTCAAATGAGGAAACAGAAGGGCATTTAGAGTGATAAATATTACACATAATGGTTATGATTTTACATTGTTTTCTCACTGAGATTCTTGGTTTTGTGTGTGCCAGACAAAGGTGAAGCCATGGACATCGGTGGTTTGGAGACGGTTGTGGCAAACTCTGCCTACGTGTCAGCCCGCGGCAGCCTGGATGGATCCGCAGCGGCCTCCATGCGCGACAAGAAGCTGCGCGCCAGGCTGAAACTCCCACACATCAGAGATTGCGAACACATGAAGACAACTGTGGACGCGACCTTCGACAGCATGTGCGTCAGACAGCCCATCGGCAAGCGCCTGTTCCAACAGTTTCTGGAGAGCGACGCCACCCACAAAAACGCCGGCGAGCTGTGGAAAGACATTGAAGATTATACCATATGCCAAGAGAAGGACAGAGTGCAGAAGGCCCAAAAAATGGTCAATAAATACTATGAGTCAGCTTCAAAGAATTTTTGCAGTTTCCTCGAAGAGAAGGCCGTCACTCGAGTGAAAGAAGACTTCAAGAACGTCCGAGGCGACCTGTTTAAAGAGAGCGAACAGCAGCTGCTCAAACACCTGGAGAAGAAGGCCTTGGACGGCTTCAAGAACAGCATGTACTTCCTGCGTTTTGTTCAGTTTAAATGGTTGGAGAGCCAGCCTGTTGATGAGGAGTGGTTCATGGACTTCAGGGTCCTGGGGAAAGGAGGTTTTGGGGAAGTATATGCTTGTCAGGCGAAGGCAACGGGCAAAATGTACGCCAATAAGAAGCTGGAGAAAAAGAGGCTGAAGAAACGCAAAGGCTACGACGTAAGTGGCGTCTAATGTCCAACACACAGCCGACCACAGTGTCAGTCAGAACAAAAGTGACATCATTGTACCGGCACCCTCATAATAGCCTGCAGCAGGAGATGAGAACGAAAATATTTGACAGTGAGTGCAGGGGTTTAGCTCTCACCACAACAGCTCAATGCAAAGAAGCTTGTGAGTCTATTAAAGACCTCACAAAGCAGCTCAGTCAGACACAGAAACAGCAGACTGAACTGCTTCTAAAAGCATCAGTGGATAATCAACTTTCAATTTGGCTGGGAGCAGCATTGCAACACAGTATTTAAACGTCAAAGGTCTGGCACACTCCATCAGATGTTTCAGCAGCTCTGCTCAGGTTGTACTTGCACACAGCTCCATGTACCTGAAGGCCAGTCTGCATAATGTGTGGCTCCTTGAATGGCACACACCCATTCTGAATAACTGCTGCTATGCTTTTCCTGCCGCAACATGTCAAAATGAATCTGTCATTCCTAAATAAAAGGACCTGTGTTTGACGAGTCCCCGGTAGAGGTTCAGTCGGGGATAACACTTGTGTGCCCTGTAACTGTTTGCATTGTACATTCCTGGTTTTGTTGCATTCTGATGTTTGATTTGTGTTTAGGGAGCAATTGTGGAGAAGCGGATCCTTGCAAAAGTTCACAGTCGCTTCATCGTGACGCTGGCTTATGCCTTCCAGACCAAGACTGACCTCTGCCTGGTCATGACCATCATGAACGGTGGAGACCTCAGGTGCTCTTTATGCTGAATTCAGTAAAGATATCCTCCATCTAACAATCTAAACACTTTACAATGACATGAGAGATACAAGTTCATGTAGTTACAACATGAGAGCAACGTCCAAACTTGTCATTTCTGCTAATCAGTTTGGGGTAGATAAACCGACTATACGTACATCATGAAACACATCACGCCACAAGTCTAGATGTAATAAATGTCTTGAGTATCTCCTCTCTTCCACGCGCAGTACGATAACATCCTTTACCTTCTCACAGGTTTCATATGTATAATGTGGATGAAAAAAATCCTGGTTTTGATGAGAAGAGGGCATGTTTCTACACGGCTCAGGTCATCTGTGGGCTGGAGCATCTGCATCAGCACAGGATCATCTACAGGGATCTGAAGCCAGAGAACGTGCTGCTGGATGATGCAGGTGAGCGCCTTCCTCAGCAGCATTCATTTTGCGTTTAATTTTGTGCTGCTCCTACAGTGTGTCAGTGCAAAATACTGCAAAGCTGCTTCATTTCACCACGACTGTATAACCACTGGTTTGAGGGCTCTTTGGTTTGAAAACTAATGAGCTGCTGCTGTCACCACCTCCTTCAGGAAGAAAACACCATCTGCATCTTTGATTGACAGCCACACATTGACAGACTATTGGTTAGCTACGTGTAACCAGTTTCATATCTTTACTGCTTTTATTTTACACCTCAAAGTTTATAGCAACCACAAAACACATTAAAATTGGTTTTTAATTTTAAAGTGAGAACTGAAGTGTTTGGCGCAACTGTCTGCAATATTGTCTATTCAATGTCATAATCAAAGCTTTTTCTTCCTCCAGGACATGTCCGTCTGTCAGATTTGGGTCTGGCTGTTGAGCTTCCACCAGGAAAAGACAAAACTACTGGATATGCTGGAACTCCAGGTGACTAAACAAAACTTTAGATCATGCATAAAACTAAGGCAGGCTGGCCAAAAATTCTATGCTAACCCTTCAGTGTATTGTAATTAAAGTGGTCTGACAGAAAACTAGACATCTACACCTCTTCCTGGCTCTGATTTTAGGCTTTAGAAAATCTAGCCTGTGATTGGAGGTATTAGCCAATCACAGGACTTCTTCCAACTCAGGTGTGGACAGATGGAGATTTTCAGTGAGGAGAGTGAATCCTGTGTTAAGACACAAATAAATATTGACTTTTTGCTTGGGTAACTTTGTGTTCTTGAAGCTTGTGTGGTGGAAAAAGCTTTAAACAGAGAAAGAAGAAGGCTATATATTTTTTAAATTCTGAATTTTTAGTTTTTTTCCTCCTTATGTCCACATTTTTGCCTACTGCAGCTTTAAAGTTGAGGCTAAAAGTCCAGAAACAGAGAGGACAGACTGCCCTCCAAGTCACTTTTTTGCATAAAACATCTACACTGTCCACTGTGTGTGACAACATTTTTCTTATGATTGTAGGTTTCATGGCTCCAGAGCTGCTCCAGAAGAAGGAGTATGACTACACAGTGGACTACTTCACTCTGGGAGTCACCCTGTTTGAGATGATTGCAGCCAAAGGGCCCTTTAGAGTACGAGGAGAGAAGGTACTACAGCATGTCCTCTTTGCTCTTTGTTTTCCGTTGCCAGATCCCACAAGCATAACGTTTCTCTTTCTTCAGGTTGAGAACGACGAGGTAGCTCGCAGAATCCTAAACGATCAGGTTGCTTACACTCCAAGCTTCAGTAAAGACTGTAAGGCCATTTGTGAAGGCCTGATGGAGAAGGACCCAGCAAAACGACTGGGGTTCAAGAACAACGAGTGTGCCGAGCTCAAGAATCAGCCCTTCTTCAAAGACATTAACTGGGGCCGTCTGGAAGCAGGTGATGGGAAAAGCAGAAACACTTTAACTGAAACTATCATCTGTGCTTAATCTTTAAAAAGAAATGAACTGGATAAAAAACAACAACTAGTCGCTGTATGCTAATTAGTTTCCTGTGTGTTTCATCTAAAGGTATGCTACCTCCACCGTTCGTCCCCGACCCAAGAATGGTCTACGCCAAAGACATTGATGATGTGGGCGCCTTCAGTACAATCAAAGGTGTGGTCCTGGACAACAAGGACACCGAGTTCTACAATGATTTCGCGTCCGGCAACGTGCCGATCCCCTGGCAGGAGGAGATGGTCGAGACCGGTGTGTTTGGAGAGATGAACATCTGGGGAGAAAACGGCAAGCTGCCCAATGACCTCGACCCAAACTTTGTGGAAACCAAAGGTGGAGGATGTGTGCTGCTTTGAGTTAGTGAAGGAAACAGAGCAGAGGGGAGAATTGTGTTAAATAACATTTAGATCTGGTATGTGCTCATTTGGTGCCACTTACTCCTAATCTGTAAATTGTACAATAATCTGTTATTGTTGTAATAAACTAATATTATCTTTGCGTTGCTATTATACATATTTTATGAATCCATATTGTAATATTTGTAATATTTCTAGGGCTACTATAAAAGTGGCGGCATGGAAACATATGACATAGAAGAAATATTCTGTAACAAAAATGTAAATACGGTTGCGCTGATAATGTTGTAATCTTACTGTTTATGTCAAGATATTTGTTTAGTAAACACAGACAAATGACATTTATTTTGTATAGAAATCACATGAAATCTTTCTTTATTATTAATTATTTGAACACTGTTATGTTGTGTTATTCTTTACTCATGTATGTATAATGATCAGATTAAGTTAATATTAAACACTGTAGATAGAAGAGTTGAAAGCAATTAATAAAATCTTGCAAAGCCCAAATGTGTGTGTTGATTTTATTTTATGCAGTTTTACTGGCCTCATTTGTGATTAAAGTGTATGAGGTTGGTGACAAAAACAGGAATTTATATATATATATTTTTAAAAAGTAGTTAATATCACTGCCTGTGAGACTGTTCTCTCTCTCTAAAGGAAGTTAAGGCTCTTTTTGAATATTGCAACAACAGTGACTTCATTTAAAAAACATATTTCAAACTTCTCAAACATTTCCCATCCTGTTTGTCTCCTGAGATTTTGCGCTGTCAGCATGTTGTCCTATTTACGCGTATTTAAATGGAACATGGTCTAGAACATGTTTCTTGTACCGAGTGCTCGTTCTTGGAAAACAGGTACTGACCTTAATTACACCGTTAAGTGTAATTGTTTACATCAATTATTAACTGTCTGATAGTGAGAAATATTAGTCACAAACATGATGGAGTTCCCAGAACAGGAATCACTTTACATGGACATGTTATGTTGTTATTTATATTTGGTACATCTGTGAAATCTAATGGAATCCAATGCAACATAAATTCTACATTTAAAAACTGTTTACATTTAGAGTTATTGTTGATGTTGTCAAAAAGGAGATAATTCTACTTCATGTTTAACATTGAGGTCATAGTGGGTGGTGGTAGAAAACTGCACTACGCTACATCTACAGGTTTCTGCTGATCCTCTGTCCATCCCATGAACATACACGAGAGAGGCTTACACTATGTGAAATCACATTTTAAGAAAATGAACTATAATATTTAGTACTAGCAATTGTTAATACTATTTTTATCAACAAAAAAAATATCTATGGCCATAAACCAGAGTCTTTGAATCTAATCCAGTGAATGAAGCAGACCTGTGACCATGTACTCCAGCACACAGGAACAAATCTGAATCAGAAGCTTTTTTATTGCCAAGTGAGCTCGCACACACAAGGAATTTGGTGAATGAGACTGGTACACAACAGTAACAAGACAAGAATAAATATAGAAATCTAGATCTAAGAAATTCTAAATAAAATATGTAAAAGAAAAGTACTATGTAAATAAAAAGTACTATGAAAAGAGACATAAACTTGCCTAAACCAAGCAATAAATCAGGAAACTGTTTCAATTACAATATAATAAAGATTGTTTTGTGCACATGAAGAGACAGCAGGTCAGGAAAAGCTCATATTGGGTCACTATGACAACCTATTTAGTCACTGAGGTGTGAAGATGTTCTATATGGGGAATTATTAAAAAAGCAAATAGACAGTAGAACTGAATCAATAGAACTCATGAATAAGGCAGCCAAGATCTCACATATCAAGTCGCCTTTACAAAGTGGTTCTTTTTTTGCTTCTACATTTTTTTAACGTGTACATGATGTGAAAATACTCCACAAATAAAGGGTGTAAAAATCTTTTCCTGAGCAGTGCTATAGATCTACTTTCTTATAACACATTTGATAGCAGTGATTAAAAATTCTTCTCTTTGAGGTGAAGTTCAAATTGACAGCTTTGATAAGTTACATATTAAAAATGTTCCCTCTTCAAGGAACTAACCTGACCCAATTTGATGTGATGCTGCATTTTAGGTATAACATAACAACAGTATCAACCATTAAACCACCAGATCACTTTAAAAGTTAATCTTAAAGTAAAAAGCTTGCTAACATGCTGATACATGTATAACAGGACTCACACACAACAAGTAGTTCTAACAGTGGACCCAGAGGAAAAATCCAATTATCATAGTCATGATGATTCATCCTGTGGGTACAGTGAATATCTGTACACATTTCTACAACAATCCATTTAATAATTGTTGCAATATTTCAGTCTGAACCACAGAAACACTGACGATACCTTCCACAGAACTGTACTGTCAGTATGGGCTAAAAAAGACGTCTGTAAATCAGATTTAATTACACCGACTCAGAAACAACATAAAGGTCAGCCATTTAAATCAATGCTTGTTCAAGCATCTGAGTGTGTGAGAGAGGCAGAGAAGGAAACACAGAGCTGCACCGAGAGCTATGAATCATATTGATTGATACGACCACATAATGAAGCAGTGACTTCACCGAAACTCTATTACATGCAGTTAACAAACACCGACCGTTCAAAGTCATACAAATGTCGTATTATTTAAACAGCTTTTGCTGAACCCACACATGAATCATAGTCTGGATTTAGCTCAGCGGTGAACAAAGGTTGGTTCAGCTACGTGTGTTTTAAATTAGGAAATAAAATTGCTTCATTTTGCAGCAGATGCTGGTGCTGATGTTGTGCAGCTGCTGCTGTTCCAGCCTCAGAGTATCTGCTCATCAATCAACTTAAATCAAATCAGTGGAATCTAAAAAAAACAACCTGTGTAATCAAATTAAAATTTGCTCTTAAGTGGGTCATGTGTCCAACATAAGGTTCTACCGGACCTTTAAAACCAGGGTGATGTCGGGTCACAGTCCGTGTCAGAGGCGGAAAACTAAAAACCACTTCAGATTTGTTTTAAGTGGACTTTTCCTTTAAGCGGCGAGGTCAACGCGGACACAAGCGAATAAATATTTCATGTGACAGAAGGAAGGACAAGGAAATAAAACATTAACAGACGCAAGATTATACCTTAAAGCCTGAATGCCTCCTCAATACTGTAAATACAATATATGACAGTACTTTGAACTGTGCTTCTGATTGCTGGCCGACAAAAGAGAATTCATTATGATAAGATACAGACTGTAAATGGTGAGTTTGAAGTTTCTCATAAACAAATAATTGATTGCCTCTGAAAAGGGTAAACAACCATTTTTAAAAGTCGTCTTCACAGATTTTTGGGGAGATTTAAGCAGCGCAGGTCCAAGAACTGAGTAAAAAGTCTGACTGTGTTCATCACTTGTTGCATTTCTATATGCTTCTTCCATATGTATAGAGACAACTAATTAATTACAGGGGTGTGTTCGAACAGCCTTTGGCCAGTTTCTTTCAGCACTGTACTGAGTCAACATTGCAACAGAACAGAAATTACTGTTAAATCTATACGCTCATGTTAAAAAAAAAAAAGAAGTATTCACAAAGAGCGAGCGTATCTTTTGTCCCTCTGCGGACGCGTTAATGCTTAACCAGTACTTTAAAAAAGGCACATTCTGCCTTCAATTAATCATCCAAACACTAATTCCCCTGCTTTCAGTGTTTGCTCTGCCCTCTATTCAGCATTTCCCCACAAGTGTTTGCTTATGGAACTTAGAATAACCTCCCTTAAATCAGAAGCTACCAATTCCTCAAGAGGAGACACAGGCTGGAGGATGAGATGAGATGAACAAGCAAGAGGTCAATAAGAATCATTTCATCGTTTATGTGCAACATATGATTACAATTTTGCACTCATTTTGCCACAAGGACAAGAGGATGGCGTCCTGAGAGGCTTCTTTAAATTGCTTCTGAATAAAACAATGTTTAAATAATTGTCTCCTGAAGTATCTTCTAAAGCATGTTTAAGTAAAAACACTTTTAAACTTTTGGTCCCTCGCTTTACTCACTTATTTATTCACTTTGAAAGACTCCAAACTATCCAGTGCTTTCTTGTATTCTTCTATAATACCGTAGCTCTTGTATAATTTTGCAAATTCGACCCATTAAAGCAAATGTTGTGTTCGTTTCCCTGTGGAGATTATCATTATCATTCATTCCGAGTTAAGATGTGATAACTGCTTCACGGGAGTTTATCTCTTTCTCGACTGCCAATCAAAAGAGGAAAAAAAAAAAAAATGCTCACTGTATACTCACATTTCTATGGTAACTTGCAAGGCACGTGAAATGTCATCAATTTTGGGCGGGAATAGCAGACTTATAATGTAGCTACAGCCGACAAATCAATGTTCAAATTAGTTCCAGGTTTGAGGGCATGAGAAAAAAAAATTGAGTCAGGTCTCACACTCCCAAAATGTATATCAGATACACAAGTTGCGAATAGAGCTCCTTACAGAGGAATTATCTATTGGTGCTGCTAATTATTAATAGGAAATCACTTTCAAGATGAAAGAGATCATCGAGGTTATAGCACTTTTTCTAGGTTTTGTAGGCTGGATAATGATTTTCATATCACTACAAGATCAGTATTGGAAAGAATCCACCACAGAAGGAAGCGTAATTACAACCTCTACAATCTATGAGAACCTCTGGATGTCTTGTGCCAGTGATTCCACAGGGATCTATAACTGTCGTGACTTTCCATCCCTTTTTGCTCTCCCAGGTAAGTAAAAGCAGAATTAACTATTTTCTAATTGCCTATTTTTATTTTTAAAAAAATGAAAAAATAGAGTTTAGCACCACGTGATCTTGGAAAAGTCACTTTACGTATCTAATATGCAACTATTACTGTTAATTAATATGAAATTACTTTGGCTTCTATTCATATTTTCTCATTTTATTCATGCTTTCAATTCTTTTCTGATGATTCAGCAGTGTGTAATAATTGCCGACTGTGCATTTTCTGAGCTACAGAGTCGTCCTGAGAGAGGTTTCAAGTCTTTATTTGATTGAGTTACATACTTTTCTTCTTTAAGAATCCAAATTGCTATAATCTCTGTGAATTTTATAATTTACAGGACTGACAAAAACAACTATTTAATTCAATACAATGCCACTTTAAACAGTTTGATTCAAGTTTATTCAAATCAAATCATTTTTATGGGCATTTATGAAGCCATAGATTGTGCAGGGTTACATTAAACGTTAAGGTGCAGCCAGTTCTATAAAAAACAACCATATAAACATTATTATAGGGCAATAAAGGTGACGTACAAATGCTTTTATTATTGCTGTACCTTTAATTGTTTTCATTATATTTTGATATTATGATAAATATCCATCGTACCGTGCGAATGTATACATAGTAACTGCATATAGCAGCTCTTGCTCTTGTGACGTGGTACTTTACTCTGACAGCGAATTCCCCAAAAATTGAATGTAATCGATTGTTTACTATCCACAATATAGTAAACAGAGACTTTAATGAACCCAAATGGTTCGTAGTTCTTGTGTTAGGTGTTAGGAGATGAGGTTTTGGGATATTTTGCGTCCAAAACGTGTCTTCTTTCAGACCAGTGGAAAGCAAACATCCAAAATATATATTTAGGTGTTCATTTTATAAACTTGTATCTATTTGGTATTCACGTAAATGTGTAACAGGGGTGTTGGTGATATGGTCCCCTCAGTATTTAGAACATGTGCATTTGTAACCCTGACAAAGACAAACATTTGTGAATAATTGTGAAAAACTGCTAAACTCACTGATTTGGATTTTGTGTCTTCTTTCACATAAATAACATAATTTTCGCTATAAATGTATGCTGAAAAGAAAAAAGAAAGAAAGAAAAAGCACAAGTTGGTGCGTACAAAATTCACCAGAAAGCAGGAGATAAGGGTTTGCTGTTCCTGGGATAGGACGCCCAGACCCTTGTTTGATGTGTTCCTTTAATGTTTAAATGAAATTTAGCCATACGGTTTTGGAAAACTGGGTCAATGCAATTAATCAGCCAGGAAAACTTCATGGCAATATGTATGAGTTTACATTTTTAACCTGCCTCTAGCGTCTTGCCTCAATGCACTTGGAGTAAATCAAACGCAAAATGGTTTTTGTATGTATGAACAAACATTGTGATGATAAAGGTTTGATAAAAAATGTCTTTTGGGTTGTCAGACAAGCAAACAAGCTTGGGTCAGCGGTCACCTGGTCACCTGTGGGTCAGTGTGTACTGATGCACCCCGCAGTGCCTACAGCTTTCCCATCATTCCTTGAGGCACAGGGTGAAGCGAGGAGCACGAATGCCACTCGAATCCCATCAATAACGGTTTAATGTTATTGACACAGTGTTCAAAGCAAATGGCAAAAGGTGACACATAGCTTTGAGTCTATAGACGTTGGTGAGGAGGTCTGAAGGCAGGACTTCACCTCTCTGTGTTCCCGAAAGTTGGGTAAACATTTGGAGTCTCTGAAAGGCTTCAATAGAACTGAGGATAATAGGGAAAATCATAAGTGGGCTATCTGGAATTAATCATTGATTAGCAGTTTTCTGAAGCACCTCGGCTCAGGGGTTGGTGGGAGTTGGTCTGGCACACTGAAGCTGTGTCTCCAACAAATCTTCACGTTTGTGAAGGAAGATATTTTATTTTTTTGGGAGACTTCAAATCCAGTATTCCTCTTTCTGGATAACTCAATACTTGTTTGATTGAAGATTCAAGGGAATATGAATCCAGTAGTGGAAGCTTTTGCTTTCTTCCTGGGCTTTCTGGGCTGGCTGATGGTTGGGATCGCCCTTCCAAACCGGTACTGGAAGGTCTCGTCAGTGGACGGTAACGTTATCACCACATCCACCATCTATGAAAACTTATGGATGTCCTGTGCAACTGACTCGACAGGAGTCCACAACTGCCGGGATTTTCCATCTTTGCTCGCACTTAATGGTATGTGGCAGAAATGATTTTATTAGTATTGATGACTGCTTATCTAATGCCATCCATTCACTCAAGTAGTCAGGATTTTAAACACTGTGACTCGTAAAGCGGTTTGGTGTAACAGCTGTGATGGGAACAGACCACTTAACAAAAAAAAAGCAGCAGGTAATCTATAACGGGTAATGAGGAGAGACGGTTGTGTAAAATAAAACAATCTGACCTTGAAAGATGCACAACAGTGGAGAAAAAGCTCCTTCCAGGTTTACTTGTTCTAGATTGTGGTTTACTTTTAAAATCATTCAACTATACTGGCTGCAATCGGTAGTAAGAAAAGGCAATGTGAGATATGATAAAATGGCAGAGGACAAGCAAGAACAACCACAGTGAACCCAAACAAACAGTGACTATGAAAGGAAATATGAATTCATAAGAAGCAACATTTATGCCCAATCTGTTGGAGTCCAATAACTATGTTGGTTAAAGTTTGGTGAACTACCTGTGTAGGTATCAGTTTATAGAGAGTATAACTTTAAGCTTTTACCATAAATATTTACAGCAGCGATACAGTGGATACAGTTGAAAGTGAAAATCCTCTTTCTTTACTTTCTACATGATGCAGTCTGTTGGGTTGGTACTGAAAAAGTACCTGAATGTGAAGCCCAGCCCTGATCAAAACAAGAAGAAAAAAAAAATCCTACATCTGTTTTGGTAGCACAGGAGATCATAAAGGTTGGGACATTACGAGGCTCCATTTCTATTCTTTCTCTGAAACACCTGAGGTATAAATAAATATGACTATATGGTATTTAATCTGTTGGAAAGTTTGGGATCTTTCACTGGTTTGACACAATAGTTTGTAGTTAATCATTTCAGCTGCAGTCCCTCAACTCATATTAACTCACCAGAACCAGGGTTACAGATTACCCTCATTAGTATCAGCGAGCCTCATGTCAACACTGTCAGCACTGAACGTTAATGATGTGGCTAACCGAGCATGTTTACCACAGACAGACATTAACGACATGCGATGCTTGGATCATCAGTATTTGATACCAAAGTGATTGTACAATACCAACAACTATGTTTCAAACAATCGAAATTCAGGCAAAGAGCAACACATTTGGTGCAAAACACAACTGTTTGAATGCTGCAATTGAATACCGCCTTATGTTTATATCATTATTTGTAACATATTACATCATATTAATAGAGTTTAATAGGGATTCTAAATGGGGGGAAAAAACAAGTAAAAGTTGCATATTCAAGTGTGCAGTTTTGTTTTCTATTTATACAGAGTTTATATGGAACATATTAGGCATCCGAGTACATTATTGTATGTTCTATTGTGTGCACACAGGGTACATCCAGGCCTCCCGAGCACTGATGATTGCCGCCATCGTGTTTGGGACGTTTGGGCTGGTGGCTACTCTCACAGGAATGCAATGCTCTAAAATAGGCGGAGAGAACTACGTTTTGAAGGGAAGGATTGCTGCGATTGGAGGAGTGTTCTTCTTACTACAAGGTAAAGTCTTGGGATTGGATGCACGGGGCGTCTAACAGAAAAAGCTTTTTTTTTTATGTTGCTTTAAAATGACTAATAAATGAAAAACCCCAAATCAAACGTACATCTTCAGAAACAACAGTCTCTACAGATGTTTTTACAAAACACTTGATAAAAATTAGTTCCATACATTTCACCCAGAGCTCATCTTCAAATAGAAAAGGTAAGTAAACATGTCTGGGGCTCCAATTTCTGTGTACAGAAGACAAGCTATCAGAAAATGGCTCACAGGTTCAAAAGGTTATCCCCAATGCTAACAAACCTGCTGATTCAGAAGGGCCCGCCATTAGAAGTTTTTTTAAAGAAGGGGTGAATGGAGTAGTAACAGCAAAATGTATTTTAGACACCTAAAAAAAGGTCAACCTCAAAAAAGTCAATATCTTTTGGTATGTATGCTATATTTGAACACTCTCTCTTTTCCTTATCACTGCTTTCTCAGCTGTAGAACTTGAGAATTCCCACATTTGTGTTAATGTTCCTGCTCAAGCTCCTCTCATGTAGGTGTTGTCGCCCCACATTTAGATGGAGGATGT